CTGAGCCACCATTTACCCAAGGAAAGAAAGGGATGTGGCTTTGGCAAGGGCCTGGCCTCCACGACCTCCCTCATCTCCTTTGACTGCTGGGCAGTTTTCCCCGTGTTTGCCATGGCCCTGATGGTTCAAGTCCCTGCCAGAGCCATTATGAGGGGTCTGCCTGTCCCCAGACACAGCACAGGGGCTCTGAGCTGTCCCCTGCTCCTCACACACACTGGCTGGGCTGGTCTCTCATGGCTCCAAGTGGGGATTCTGTCACAGCCATCCAGGTTAACCTTTGGATTACTGGTTTAACCATTCCTATCCCCAAAGTAGCTACTAAAGCTACTATGATTAGACATATTCTGTTATTCTAATCATAGAATATGTCAGGTTGGAAGGGATTCACAGGGATCACTGCTCTTTAAGAGATCAGTCTTCCCAGTACAAAGTGCCCCAGGTATGTGGAGGTTGGAAAACTCTTCCTCAGAAAGGGCTGAAGGCAGAGGGAAGAGTGGCAAAAAGGGTTTTTGGCAGCAGTGCGTCTTCTGCCACCCTCCCTAGGCAGAGAGGTGGGATGACATAGGTGGAAGATGAGGCAGAGGGAAGAGTGGCAAAAAGGGTTTTTGGCAGCAGTGCCTCTTCTGCCACCCTCGCTAGGCAGAGGTGGGATGACATAGGTGGAAGATACATTTTCACTGGAAGTCTGTCAGAAAGGATTTGGTAGAGTGGGAAACGAGACCAAGTGTGTGTGAGGGGCTCAGCTCTGCTCCTTGGAGCAGCCTGCTCCAAAACCCCTGGGATCCAGAGTGCCTCCCTCATGACCCCAAGGCCCACATTGTCCTTCTGCCAGGTCTCACTGAGAGGTAAGGGCCTTGGACATCCCCAGGATCCAGCAATAATGAACTCCCACAGGGGGAGCACCTGGAATGACACAGACTAAGGAGACAGTAAATGACAGAGGAGCTGAGACAATGCAGAGTGAAGACTCTTTTATGGAAGAGACACAGCAGGTGCAGCTCTGGCCACGTTCACCCACAGAGGAAATGGGCTCCTAGCCATCAGTGGTGCCTGTGGTGCTCGTCTTTCAGGGGTGGCATGATCTCTCCAGTCTCTAAAATCCTGTCCCCCTGTGGGATGAGAGCATGGTGAGCATTCCCTGTGGCATCCAGACTCTCCCTGCACAGCCTTCCTTCAGGGAACCTGCAACTGTCCCCACTTACAGGCAAGAATTTCACCACAACTCACTCAGAACACTCTAATTCCCCCAACATCCCCAGAATGCTGGAATAGCATCACAGCAAAATTACCTGGAGCCTGTATTTGCTTTACCCCTTGCTTTTACTACAGAACAGAAGCCACACACTTTGAGCCTGTTTTGACATAGAGCACTGCATAATCCCCTCCAGCAATGATCAGTGAGTCCAAACCCACAGCCCAGAGCCCATGGAGAGCCATGGAATCCCTCAAAAATCAACCTGCTGCCCCAGTGCCACTTGTTCCAGCTCCAGGCACAGTCTTGGCCTGCTGAGCTGACCTAACTTGACTGAAAAATTAGGCTGAAGACAGAGGCCAACAGCTTGACCTTCAGCGTGTTGCTTTGTGGTTGTTTGGGATGGAATATTTTATAATTTTATTTTAGACAGAGCATGATTAGGAGGTGTTATGCCAAAAATAGGCAGCAGTCAGAAAGGGCAGAGCTGATCTTCTGTAGGAATATTTGCCCTCTGACTTGTTACACCAATCAGTAACAGCTCAGTGGTGTTCTTTGTGTTCTGAAAGCAGAAAAGACCAAACAATGGGGCACTCTCTGCTTCATGAAACTTGTCCCACGCTGAAGTGACACAACTCTTTGGGGACACCTGAGTGTGGGTGACCTTCAGGGACAACTGGGACCAAGCCAGAACCAACATTCTCAGGGCTGACAAGGAGGAGAAGCAGAGCCACTCCTGCATGATTCCATGTGTTAATAATCACTGGGGCTTTGAACACCCATTCCCAGAGGGAATGTCTGTATTTTCCACCCAGGATGGGCAGCATCAGCCAGGCTCTGACAGCCAGGTGCTACAGAGAGGTAACACCGAAACAGGGACTGAGGACAAGATGAAAGTGCCCAAACCCATTGTCCCTGTGCTGCCCACAGGACCCAGTACATCCCTTGGGAAAGTCCTCGCTAGACATTTCCCAGGTGCTGCACAAAGCTCCCTGGAAATCCCTTCCTGTCTGTGTGACACAGCTGGAAGATATGCCAGGACATGAGACTTACTGGGAATATCCGTGGGTTTGTCACAACCACACCGTGCGGCGATTTCTGGAAGCAGGGGGAGAACAGGGAGAGGGCAAAGAGAACAGTGTTAGTTACTTGGAGGAAGCACAAAGGATGTTCAAAATGGGCACCATGATCCTTCTGGGATCGAAACTGTGCTAAGCACAAGTCTTGTTAAACCTTCCACTACTAGAGAAATACCTGAGGCTGCAACAGTCACACCTGCCAGGGAGGGCAGGGCTGGCCCCTTTCCCTCCCCACACCAACTGCTGCCCTGGTTATTCCCAGGGCTGTCCCTGCAGGACAGGAACAATTCAGATACAGCTTTTCTGCTTAAAACACATGAGAAGCTGGACACTGCCATAAATCATGGAATGGTTTGGGCTGGAAGGGGCTTTAAACCTTCCACCCCTGCCATGGCAGGGACACCTTCCACTGTCCCAGGCTGCTCCAAGCCCCATCCAGCCTGGCCTTGGGCACTGCCAGGGATCCAGGGGCAGCCACAGCTGCTCTGGGCACCCTGTGCCAGGGCCTGCCCCCCCTCACAGGGAACAATTCCTTCCCAATATCCCATCCAGCCCTGCCCTCTGGCAGTGGAAGCCATTCCCTGTGTCCTGTCCCTCCATCCCTTGTCCCCAGTCCCTCTCCAGCTCTCCTGGAGCCCCTTTAGGCCCTGGAAGGGGCTCTGAGGTGTCCCTGGAGCCTTCTCCTCTCCAGGTGAGCACCCCCAGCTCTGCCAGCCTGGCTCCAGAGCAGAGGGGCTCCAGCCCTTGGGGGGTCTCTATGGGCTCCTCTGGACTGTCTCCAGCAGCTCCAGGTCCTGCTGCTGTTGGCCCCAGGGCTGGGGCAGCTCTGCAGGTGGGGTCTCACAAGGGGTGATTCTTTGTAATGAAGTATCACACTAAATTTATATGTCAGTGCTACCTTAGCAAGGCAACACAAGCGGTGAACAGGCCACGGGAGAATAACCTTCATCTGCAAACGAATGTGAGCAGCGCACTCACACACCCGGTGTGGGCCCACTCCCCGCTTTATCCCCCCCGCCCCTTCCCGGGCATTCCCTTCACCCCGCCGGGCCCGCACGCACCCGGACGTGGTACTTCAGGTAGTAGGTGATGGCCCAGGCGGGGAGCAGCACCCGCAGCATGACGAAGCGGCCGCTCTGGTAGAAGCTGTGCACCTGCGGGCACAGGGACGGTCAGGCCGGGCCAGCGGCCCAGGAAAGGCCGCGCGGTGCCCGCGTCCCGCCGCTCACCTGCTGCCGCCAGGGATCCCCGGGCCGCAGGAAGCTCTCCCAGAAGGCGGCCACGGGCCCGAGCTTCCGCGGCGGCAGGACGGGCTCCCGCGGGCTCAGCTCCTGGTCCCGCAGCCAGCGGCGCCGCAGGGCGCGGAGCTGCTGCAGCCGCAGCTTCTCATCCTGCGCGGGGCCGCTCATGGCGCCTCAGCCCCTTCGGCCCCGCTCGGCTCGCTCCGCTTCGGTCCCGTTCGGGCGCCGTGTCCTTCGCCGCGGCGCGCGGCGGTGACGTCACGGGGCGCGCGGTTGTGACGTTGCAGGCAAGGCCGCCGAGGTGACGGTGGGGCTGTGGCGGCTGTGCCGTGAGGGGAGCCCAGGGAACCGGGGGAAGGGACAGCCCCGGGGACTCGGCTGTGGCCTCTTCAGTGCCCGCAGGGAACTGACGGGACAGATGGGACAAGTCTTATTTGCAAAGCACACAGGGAATGGCTTCCCACTGCCAGAGGGCAGGGCTGGATGGGATATTGGGAAGGAATTGTTCCCTGGCAGGATGGGCAGGCCCTGGCACAGGGTGCCCAGAGCAGCTGTGGCTGCCCCTGGATCCCTGGCAGTGTCCAAGGCCAGGCTGGATGGGGCTTGGAGCAGCCTGGGACAGTGGGAGGTGTCCCTGCCATGGCAGGGCTGGGATGGTCCCTAATGACCCTTCCCAGTCAAACCCTTCCACGATCCCTCTGATTCCATTATTCCAATATTCTGTGATTCTGTGTTTCCATGTTTCCAGTGATTCCACGATTCCATAATTACAATGTTTCCATAATTCTTATGATCCCAGTGATTCATTGATCCAGTTTCCCCGATTCCAGTGTTCCAGTGTTCATGATCTCGATGTTCCCCTGATCCCAATGTTTCCATTATCCCCGTGTGTGATTCCCGATCCCGGTGTGTGTTCCCCGATCCCGGTGTGCGATTCCCGGATCCCGGTCTTTCCCCGCTCCCGGTATGTGATTCCCGATCCCGGTGTGTGATTCCCGATCCCGGTGTGTGATTCCCGCTCCCGGTATGTGTTTCCCGATCCCGGTATGCGATTCCCGATCCCGGTGTGTGATTCCTGATCCCCGTCTTTCCCCGATCCCGGTGTGTGATTCCCGATCCCGGTGTGTGATTCCCGCTCCCGGTGTGTGATTCCCGCTCCCGGTGTGTGATTCCCGATCCCGGTGTGTGTTCCCCGATCCCGGTGTGTGATTCCCAATCCCGGTGTGTGATTCCCGATCCCGGTGTGTGATTCCCGATCCCGGTATGTGATTCCCGATCCCGGTGTGTGATTCCCGATCCCGGTGTGTGATTCCCGATCCCGGTCTTTCCCCGCTCTCTCCGTTCCCGCTCGGGCAGCGGGCCGTGGCGCCCCCTTGCGGCCCGGGCAGCTCGGTGGGGGGAGCCGTGTCCGGGGCCGCGGGTTCGATCCCCGCTCTGGCGCTCCGTGCCCGGGCCCCGCGGGCGGTGCCGCTCCGCCCTCGGGGCGGTTCCTGCTCCGGTGAGCGCGGCCTGCCGGGCCCGGCCGTGCGCTGCGGGGCCATGGCCGAGCCGCGGCCGGAGCTGGCGCTGCGCTTCCAGCGCCGGTTCCTGGCGGCGCGGCCGCTCAGCTCGCTGCCCTGGCCGGTACGGAGGGCGGGGGGGAGGCGGTACCTCGGCGGCGCTGCGCTTCCAGCGCCGGTTCCTGGCGGCGCGGCCGCTCAGCTCGCTGCCCTGGCCGGTACGGAGGGGCCGGGCGGGGGGGAGGCGGTACCGCGGCATTATTTATTTATTTATTTATTTATTTCTTTATCCTGTTCTAGGAGCTCGAACAAAGCCTGCGGACTGCGCCGGACTCCGCGCTGCTGGCGGATATTCTGCACAAGGTGAGGGGCGGCTCGGAGTCACCCCCGTGCCATCAGCGGCGGGGCCAGCGCGCCTTCCAAAGCCGCCGGAACCGCTCAGGAATACGGGGTTGGTGATCCGGTGTCGCCGTGTTTCGTTAGGCCCCGCACAACTGCAGCTTGCCTTCTTTGCCCGGTATTTGGGTGTTCTTAGATCAAAACGGAGACCCGCGTGCCAGAGCACCGATGTGGTGAATGGCACAGTCAGCGCAGCCGTGCCTGGATGTTTGGGATACAGGGAATGCCTAAACTGTCCCTGGGGATGGAGATCACAAATCAGGCAGCAAACCGAAACGGAAAGAAGAGGAGAGCAAAAGAAGGAGGAGAGTAAATTGGATTATTTTACTCTATTTTCCTCTTTGTTCTATTGAAAAATGATTATTTTTGTTGCCACAGAAAGTAAGAAATCTGTGCCCACAGTTCTGTAAGCTCACACACCTGTCAGAAATCATCCCATTTCAATTTCTGGCTTAGCATCTCTTGTACAGACTAAATTCCAAAGCATTTCATGGCACCCAGACCCGATTAATGGTCCTCCTGTGGTCCTTAATGCCTTTCCTAAACCCTGCCCTGGGTAATTGGTTTCCATGGCTCTTCTCATTGTAGACAATTCTTCACCCTCTGTGTGTGAAATATCCCCCTTCGGCCAAGTACAGGAGGTGCTTCCTGACTGAGCTCATCAAAAAGGTACCTCTTGCTTTTCACTTTCTTTTTCACTTGTTTTTCTCCTTTTTTTATCCCCCTTGAGGATACCTCATGTAATAACCAACCACAACCTTCAGTGTAAATACACTGTACTGAAATGGGGCTTAGAGTGCAGTTGTTTTGCCTTTCATGACAGTGTGATGCCCAGAGCTGCCCTGTTCTCCTCCCCCACAGCTTGAATCCACAGCAGCTGAACCCCTGGATGAACTCTATGAAGCACTGGCAGATGTTCTAAAAGAAGAAGAAGAATGTACTCACTGTTACAAAAGCTACTTACTGGTAAAAACTGACACTGCACTGTTCTAAACCACATTTACTCACCAAACTAAGCAATAATTGGCTTTAAAAACACCCACCCTGAAGCCTGGAGTGCTTCCTGCCTTTTTCCAGGTGCTCCTGTTGATTGTAACCTCTAAATCATGGTGTGTGCTGATGCATCTTTGCCCTCGTGTGTCCTGCAGCCCTCGGGGGACAGTGTGAGCCTCTGCGAGAGCACGGCGCTGATCTGCGGGGGCACCACGGGGCTGCTCACGTGGGAGGCTGCCCTGCTGCTGGCCCAGTGGGCACTGCAGAACCCCGGCCTCTTCAGGGGCAGGTATGGCAGCAGCAGGGCTGCACCAGAGAGCTGCTCATTCCTGCAGGACCCCACAGTGCTTTGGCTGGGAAGGGACATCATTCCATGGGCAGGGACACCTCCCACTGCCCCAGGCTGCTCCAAGCCCCGTCCAGCCTGGCCTTGGGCACTGCCAGGGATCCAGGGGCAGCCACAGCTGCTCTGGGCACCCTGTGCCAGGGCCTGCCCACCCTCACAGGAAACAATTCCTTCCCAGTATCCCATCCATCCCTGCCCTCTGGCAGGGGGAAGCCATTCCCTGTGTCCTGTCCCTCCATGCCTTGTCCCCAGTCCCTCTCCAGCTCTCCTGGAGCCCCTTTAGGCCCTGGAAGGGGCTCTGAGGTGTCCCTGGAGCCTTCTCCTCTCCAGGGGAGCACCCCCAGCTCTGCCAGCCTGGCTCCAGAGCAGAGGGGCTCCAACCCTCTGATACTGAGCTACACAACTGTAATTTAATAACAGAAATACTTCGTAACAGACTATGCACCAAAAATAACTGAAATTACACCCTTTTGCTGCTGAGTAATTGCTGCTCTTGTCTGTTCTGCTAAACTTTAACCCAGGAGAGGACCTGATTTAGGACATGGTTTGGGATCAAACCCTTGCACTGTGCAGTCTGACCTGCTCTGTGAGGTCAGCTGTTCAGCTTTCAGTAATTTAACTAATGACCATCACTCCATGATAGGATTCACCAAGGATTATCTGTGTTAGATGATCAGTGTGCAGCTCTGATCACATCATTTTTACTTTATTTATCAGCAGTCAAGATGAGCAAGGACTTTTGAGGAAAGATAATTTAATAATAGTTAAGCTCACAGGGGAAGGAGCTGTACTGTTCAGTGTCTGCTTCTCTCCACTGACTAAAAACTGGAGAGCCAGCTCAGGTGGAAACAACTAAAGCCAGGTGGGAATGTCTCTCATCCCTGTGATGGGAATGCTTTGTGCCTTACAGAAATCAGCATTTCAGCTAATTAATTTTATGCTGACAATTCCACTCTCAGTTATTCCCCACCCTCCAGTTGCTTGGGACAGAGGTTAGATTGTGGATGGTTCACTCAAAAATTATTGTAATTATCTGGAACTGATTTTACCTTTAGTTACATTTAGAGTGTTTTGATTTCTAACTCAATGCAGAGTCCTGATAGTACTTCTTACTCCATTACCCTCAGGACAGTCCTGGAATTGGGGAGTGGGATTGGCTTCACTGGAATTGCCATCTGCAAGACCTGCCAGCCCAGGACATTCATATTCAGTGACTGCCACCCCCGTGTTCTCAGACACCTGGGGGAAAACATCCAGCTGAATGGCTTCACCCCAGAGCCTGACGTGACCTGGAGCATCCAAACAGAGCCCCAGGGACAGGAGGTGCAAGGACAGAGCTGCCAAAACCCAAAAGTGATTGTTGCTGAGCTTGACTGGGGCTCCGTGACAGAAAAACAACTGCTGGCTCTCAGAGCTGATGTTGTCATTGCAGCAGGTATGGCACCCACAGAGAGCAGGGTCAGCAACCCTGGCAGCCTCCTGAGGAGCAGCAGAATAGTAACAGCCAACTGCAGACTTCTTTTGTACTTGTCTGTGTCTAAATCCAGAGGGAGTTTCATAAAGAATGCAGCCATAGTGTCAGTAGGACGATGGTGGTGATGCCCAGTGAGAGCAGAATGTGTCAGCCATAGGTCTTACACCCTGATTTGGAGCTTTGCAAAGAAAAACCTGAGAATCCAGGTGCAGAATGACTCTAGCATCCCAGGTATCACAGGATGCAGTGAGTGGGAATTCTATAAAATGAAGTCACTGCACGGTGCCTAATGCCAGTGACACTGCTCAGTGCCCAAACCAGCCCCAGCTGGACTCTGAAGGCAAGAACTGACATCTCTGTGCCATTTGCTGTTAGTCACTGCAGCAGGATGTGCCCTTAGCACACTGCAGCACGAATAACTGCAGTGGAACACACCCCTGCACACCTCTGTCTAGGAAACAGCCCCCCTGAGCATCTGCATTCAGCTCCTCTTGGTGTTCCCTGACCTCTCACCACCATTTCTGCCCTCCAGGGAATGACTCCAGAGGAAAACTTCTGCAAGTCCTTGGCACCAGCCTCTAAACCTCCCCTATCTAACCAGGCAGGTTTGTTTTGCCAAGGGCAGTGGGAACAGACACCAACACTCAGTGGTTCTGCTGCCTCCCTTAGGATGGGCTTAAATAAAATATCTGACAATCCATTTACTAAAAGGAGCACTGATTTTTAGTGATGAAGGCATAGCCCATAGAATGTCAATATTCTCCTGCACTGTGAAGATTTTATTTCTGCTTTGCAGTTTTCATTCTGGTTTTTGCTCAATTCTCAATAAATATTGTCCAATTCTTTTTCTTTTTTTTTTTTTTTTTTTTTTTTGTAGATGTGGTGTATGATCCTGAGATAATTTTAGCCCTCGTTGGGATGCTACAGAAACTCTCCACCTCCAGAGCAGGCAGGAAAGCTCCTGAGGTGTTCATTGCCTCCACAATCCGAAATCCAGACACGTTTCAGCTCTTCCAGGCTGAGCTGGGTGGGTGCCTGTTCCATCCAGGGTTCAATAGTTTTGCCTTTTTGCCTTTCTCCATTGTCCTGTGGTAGAGAGGAGCAGGAGCATTTTCCAAGAGCAGGATCTTGTCCTAGAGGGATTTAAGAGCAGTAGCTTTTGAACCCGGATTTCATGAGGAGCTTGGAACTCACCTTTAGGTACATCCTGGCTATCACAGCTCACATCTGTGAGGATGGTTTGTAAGTGTGGTGCCTAATAGGAAAATAAAAAGAGGGTTAAGCTTACAGGAGGGAGCCATCAGTGCTGTCAGTGATAACACCTGAGATGCCACCTAAACCCTTTATCTTATCTTACCTGTTCTTTCACTTGACTCTATTTTCACCTTTTATCTTTTGACAAAAACCCCCAACTAGAGATTAAATAAAACAGAGATTTGGGGATTTTTCTTCATAGAAACTTCTAAAGCCTATCTTTTGCAGTGTCTTTGCTGTTCAGCTGGTGTTCACCAACTGGACCTGATGATCCCTGTGGATTCCTTCAGCTCAGGATATTCTGTGAAATTCTGCTTAATTCACAAAGTGACACTGAGCGTTCAGCAGAGGCATTAATGGGATTTCAAAAAAAACACTCATAAGCATTTGCCTGACAATCACAGCATGCTAAAGATCTCTTCTTACAGAACTTATCATGCAACTTTTGCTCTTCCTTTTCCTAGGCATAAATATGATTCCCAGTGTTTCTCTTCACAGATAAAGCTGGGATCAGGTGGCAGGTGATTCCAGCCCACAGCAGCTGTCATTTTCTCTATGATGTGCAGCCAGATGTGACTATTCTACAGCTATTTCTATAGGCTTGGCAAACAACTGGCATTTGAGAGCAACAGGAGCTGCCTCAGCCTTGTAACAAGATTATCCTGAATTCTGGAAACGAGGTTCTGAGGATACAGCTGGACAGACACATGGAGTCCTTCCTTCCTTCCTCTAATTCCCAGCATGGATCCAAGCCTGCAGCTGCCCCTGGGAAGTGACTGAACCCTAAGCAACAGAAACCAAAAACCCCAGTCACACTTCACTTGGATTCTGTAGAAGACAGCAGAGTTCAAACAGGGTTTTTTCCCAACTGTGTGTGAATTGTAAGCACTGGGGGCAACCTGCACATCACAGGATGAGGATCTCCCACAGACAAGGGAGCAAAGCAATGTTTCAGAGTAATCAATGGGTTTTGGTTTTAAAAAGAGCTGTAATTGTCTACCCTGGTGGTTTATGTCTGTGTGTACTTGCAGTTTGGGTTAGCTTAAAAGCCCCCAATAAACAGTGACCAGTTGCTGTAGTTGTGTCCCAGGATGACTCTGCTGTAAATCAGGTGCATCTTTACTCTGCAGTGACGACAAGTCAGAATTGATGCCCCCTTCTCTCACAGCCACTTCCACAGTGGCTGCTGGGAATGAAAAAGGAATCACTCTCCATAGCAGTGTTCCAGGTATCCTACAAAGAGGAAGGACTGAGCTCCCCTGCTCTGAAACTTCTCATCATCCATTAATCACTCTCCTGTCGGGCAGCATTAGTCCTGAAGCACAAAAATCAAAGTGATGCCCATTCTTCTCTTTTAGCTTCCTTTCTCTATTAAAAACTACTTAAAATGAAGCAAAAAAACTTCAACCTCCTTCTTCTGCAGCAATGGAGAGAAAACTGATGATACCTAACTTGGAACCTGAAGAATCTTCTTATTCTTCAAGCTAAAGGAGACCATGACTGCTGGGATCAAGCAGAAATAACCCCAGCCCAGGTTTTGGCTCCCTGTCCCCAAAAAGAAAGAACTCAGAGGTGTTATTTCCAGAGTAAACAAAAACTGGCAGCTCACACAGGAGCTCCTTTATCTCCCCTTACACAAAATTCAAGACAAAGGTTCTGTACAGAGCTCATTTTGGATCTAAAAAGTTCTATTACATGAAGAGGAAACCTCTCTAAAGCTTTTTGCATTACTGTTTAACTAGAGAAGTGCCTAATTTACCTCCACGTGCACAGGAATGGCCAAACTCTAGATGGGATTTTGCCTGAAAACAGGAAAAAAAACCACCAAAAAATTGGCAAATCAATGTTCATGGATCATTCTTCAATCAGTAAGCTGGAGGTTTTGCCAAATTCCTGCAGTAAAGCAACTTGACCCTTTCACCTTTTCTCTTTTGACAAAAGCAGATATTCAACAGCCATTCAGTCAGAGTTTAAAACTGTTGGTGCAGAACCCACTGTCCTCACCTCCCACCCTGAAGCAGGAGCTCTGAGGAGCAGTAAACACAGTCCAAGCCAAGTACATTTACCAGTGACTGACATGTGATGATATTTTATCTTCAAAAAGGTGATGAAAAAAATCTTGTAAGCATTAGGCTTGCATGTGAATACTGAGCTTAATAAAAAGCTGAAGGTTGTACCTGAGCAAGCACTCACAAAGCAAAGTGCCTTTTGACTAAGTTATACATACTTTGTTCATGTGTTTTGGGTTTATTTTTCCCTTTTCTGTTCATCTGTTCAAGAAGAGATGAATTTGATGTTCTTTCCCAAGGTAAACGGGCACATTCATTTCAGAGTACAGGGAGAACAATTCTCTGCAAGCTCTGCTTTGCTCTAAGTGCCCAGTAAAGCTGTCACACACCAGTGCTGTGCTTCCACACACTGCCAAAAGGAAAACAACTTGGAAACAAAATGGTTCTGTCCCAATAAAACTATGCAGGAGGATATTCAGTGCTTGGGAAATTACTGGCCATCAAATTGACCAGCTGAAATGAAACAACTCAAATGACAAACATCTGCCATGTGTTAAATAAACCATACCCAAATCACCTGCTAAAGTGCTGACTGTACAGGAGGTGAAGCTGGCAATAGTTTCTATCTCTGTTCAAGGATCTTCACCAAAAAGGGCCCTTTAAGCAGCACAGGCTCTCACACAACAAACAGCCTCAGCACCTCCTACTCACCCAGGAAGCTGAAACTGTAAAGGAAGAGTGTGAGAGCCAAGACAAAGGAGTTAGAAACTGTAAGTACAGACAATACAAAGTTTATTCACTGTTTCCCAAATCCCTGCAGCTGCAGGAATGTGTTTGACACCCTCCTTCCCCCAGTCACTCTTTGCTGCCCAGCAAGGGAAGGACAGTCTGGTCCCAGCTCTGGTCCCAGCGCAGCTGCTGGGACGCTCGCAGGGTCTCTCGGAAGCTGGGAAGTTTCCCTTCCAGGCTAGGGAAATCCAAGAAAAGCATCTGTAATTTAAAAAGCAAAACCACAGAAAAATAACTATCATGTTCCATTTCAAGCTCATTCCAGCCTCCCCACTGTTAACCCTCAACTACAGCTGCAGTTCTGGGGTGTGGGCCCATGAAGAGAGAACAAGGACAGAGTTTGAAATGCTTTTGCCAGCTTCGAGTCCTCATTTAAACAGAAGTGAGGCAAACAATGCTCACCAGGCCAGGTAGTGCCTTGTGAGAATGCAAAACACACACGTGATGTTCAAATCTGACAAGGCTGCTCACACAGTGGCACCTCTGGGGTTATTTCTGGGGGGACAGAAATCAGTCAGAGCCTTTACCTTCAGCTGTTCTGCAAGTTCCTGCGAGTCCCTGAATATCAGACCGTTCTCATTGTGCTTCACCAGTTCATGTAAACTGAAAAAAAGCCACAGAAGGAGAACTGAGGCAGAAGCAGTGAGTGGGACATTTACAGTGTTGCCCAGTGACATCCAAGGGACCAAACCAGGGTATCTGTATCATTATCCCCCACACCTGACATAATGCAGTTAAACAGGCAGTTTTAAACAGTTAAAGACCTCTTCTCCTTTCTGTGTCAGACTAAATCTGCCACAGCTGTACCAAAGGGCCCTCATTCTGTCTTTGTGCCACTCGTCTGGACATCCATTAAAAACCAGAGCAATGATCTACTTTAAAACTAGATTTATTTTTTTTTTTTCCACAAGGAAAATCTGTACATGGTCCATCGTGAAATCTTCACAGGAGTTTTATCTTCTTTTATAAAGCTACTGTTTTCCCAAAGGACCATAACTTCCAATAATGCCCATGCATACACTCAGCCTTTCACTGAACAGGTATATCTATGCAGAAGAAAGATTTTTTAAAATTAAATATATGGAAACAATGGAATACAGGGATTTTTAAAGGGAAGTGCTTGCATTAAATGCTCCCAATTTTGTAGAAACTAGCATTAACTTTTAAACTTAAACCAACCTTGATTTCTATCTTATTTAATTTTAAAACTGGCAAAATGCAGCAATCTCATTGAATTCCTGCAGTAGCACTCTGGCTTTGTAAGAATATTGTTTTATGTGATTGCCTTGAGCTGTAAGAGAAGAAGCTCTTACCATTCAAAATGTATTGCACACACAGGTAAACAGCAGCCAAACATATCGACCACCTTCATGGGCAAATCCAAACCACTGGAGGATTTGTGGAGACACACCCCCAGGTCTGCTGAGCCTGAAATCCAACACAACACAGTCTGCACTCTGAAAGCAGCTCCTCTGTCCTCCTGCAAACCTTCCTTTTTGTGCTGCTTTGGATGGTGCAAGTGAAACTGTCAACTACCCAGACACAATTTCAAGCAATCGGGGAAAAAAATAAAGCACGCGTGTTCTGGGATTCAAAATTAGTTATGTTTTAGAAAAACAGTTAAATTAAAGGGGATTTTGAAGTTTTATTTCTCTTAAAATAGCCTTTCTGCTTCTTCATCTGCTAAAAATGGGTAAGTAAAGGAAAACCCCATCAGTATACACTGTGACCTCACTAGTGACCTCTCCCAGCTGAAGTCAGCTCAAACAGAGGAATCATAGTGTGATTTTACAGACATTATGTTTATTATTCTAAAAGGACCAAATAAACAGTGTTTTACAGCCACATAAATTGTCAGGCTCCAACCCTGCAGAATGAAGATCACATTGAATATGTATTTTATAGCTCTATTGCTCTGACTTTATGCTGTTGTAATGAAGATGCTGAGGGAATAACATTCCAATGACATGTTTATTTAGAATTTCAGCTACTTTTGGTTGCTCAGCCAACCATTTTTTCATTTCATTTACTGGAGTGACCCTGAAAGTAAAGTAGAACATGCACAGGCATCTGTATTTCAGCACAGCTGGAAGAAAAAAAGAGTGCAAAAACAGGCTGAAACAGCACAGCTACTTCTTGGGAAATCAGGGAAAAGCCAGCCAGAGGAATTCAGCAGCTTTGCTGGAATGAGTCAAATCCATGAATATCCTGTCTATATTCTCCCATTCTCAACATTCCTGACTATATTCTCCCAGCCTGCATCAGCCCCCTGCAACTGTGCTGAGCTGTTTCCCACACATCCTGCAGCCTTTTCCATCCCCCACTATTTACCAAGCAGAAGAGGGTAATCCTCAGCCTCCAGCCACGGTGTACAGATCTGGATGTGCCTAAAGTGCAGGTTTTGGATCAGTCCATTGTAATAATCTTTTAGAGGTCCTTTTCCTGTGTGAAACAGAAAAAAAATGTTTTATCAAAATGACTGAAAAGAGTGTGGTCTGTGAAATACAAGCTCCTGTTGGATCAGGTGCACAAACATGACACAACACTTGTGCTACCCTAAAAAGACCTGAAAAATCTTAAGTTCCCTTGAGAGCAACGTGCACACGGACTTCTCTTACTCAGTATTTCCATTAGTTTCCCATCAATGCAGAGTCATGGAGTTTTGAAGGTTGGAAAAGCCCTCTCAATCAGTGCTCCCCAGCACTGACCCACACCCTGAATGCCACACCCACAGGGCTTTCAATTCCCCCAGGGATGGGGACACCACTGCCCTGGGCAGCTGTGCCACTGCCTGACCACCCTTTCCATGAAGGAATTCTCCCAGTATCCAGTCTAAACCTCCCCTGGCACAGCTTGAGGCTGCTTCCCCTGACACTGCTTTTGCAGCACCATCTCAACATTGACCTTAAACTGTTTTTCGTGCAGAGCTGGAGCAGACAGGGAGGTTCTTCAAGGATGTGCCATAACTGGTGGATGGTGCAATAACTCAGCTATAAATCACTGTCCTGATAACCAACACAAAGGCAACAGTCCCTCCTCTCCCACCAGCAAAGAAGAGACAGCAGAGAACAAAAGTAACAACTAAACCTTCTGAAGAACTGTAACACCAACATTCTCACCTGTTATCACACACACTAAAGCTGGAAGCTCGGCTCCCTCCTCGATAAACCTCTCGTAATCTGGAGAAGGTAAAACACTGGTCAGAGCTGACAAAGCTCAGGGTGCTTGGCTGAAGAGTGACAGTGCATTAATTACTGAGCTTCCCACTACAAGCCATTTTCTTATGAGCATGCATGAGTAACACAGCAGTAACTCCAGCAATGTTAACATTTACAGACTTCTCCAGAAATAAATCAGGCTGTTTATGCATGAAGCATTTCTTCAACTGCTCCCCAGTCAGTTGCTTCAATAGATCAATTTAGAATTGCAGCTGCAAAGTCTACAAGATAAGACAAAGCATTCCCTCCCTTCCCATTAGCAGATACCTGTGGAGAGTAGATGTAATAACTCAGAAAATAAAACTGCACTTTAGGAGCCAGTGAGAGATTTAACTCTTCCTGACAACTCCTCTAATTGAATTCAGATGTTGCACTGCTGTATTTCAATTACTAATCTGAAATTAGTGCTAATTAATCAAATACAACTGCATTTTCACCTGAATATAGAAGCATTGCTCTTTAGCAAAACCCTTCTTAAGTGCCCACACCAAGACCTCTTTGAAAGAGTGAGATCAATTCCTTCATACCAACCTTCTAAAGCTCTTAAAAGAACTGAGAAGTCTTCATCCTCTGAAAGAGAAGGCTTCATTAGTAACATTCGTATTTCCACCACTTTTAATTTTTGACTTTAAATAGCAATTAAGATTTTCCTCACCTTCACCTACACAATTTAAACACATACCATGTACTCAAAGGTTAAGTACATAGTCTGTACTTAAAGGTTACTATTTACTAAAATGTGCCATTAAAAATCCCCTAGTTTATTTTCAGAAATAAAAGTCCATAACCATACACAGTGTTAATTTATTTCCCTTGTTGGCAACATGACAGACAAACCAGCTACAAATACTGCACATCTTTGAAGCTATCAAGTTAAAATTTTCTAGTTTCTGAAAATGAGAATTAAGTGTAAAAACTGCCCTGATTATTCAAAGATAAAGACAATCCTGCCCCTGGTCACTGGCAATGGATTTGTTTCCAGTCTCTCATACAGAGGGAAAATATGTACATAATTATGTAATAAACATGATCAGAAATCATGGAATCACAAATTGGTTTGGGTTGGATGGGACCTTAAAGCTCAGCTCATCCCAGCCCCCTGCCATGGGCAGAGACACCTTCAGGGTGCAGGGTGCTCAGTAAGGAGTAAATATTTGAGTTTCTTCATCTGTTTTACACCACCATGCAAGACTGTATGTCTACAATGCAAGCTAAAAAAAAAAAACAAAAAAAAAAAAACAAATAGGAAACCTCTTTTAATCATTCTTAAAGATGAGCTCTACAATTAAAATACAACTTCAAAAAAAATCATTCCTTTGTAGTATTATTCAAGTTACACAACATTTAGTTGCATCATACACACCTTGTGTTCAATTCTCCCAGGAAAACGAAGGACAAACATAACTTCAAGCGTGAGAAGGTACAAACAGCCCTATCTGACATGGAAAATACAAGTGATTCCCAACCTGTCCAGCTGGTGCTGCTGATGAGAAGGGCTGGCCGGCCCCTGGGCTTCACCACGCTCCCGCTGCTGCCGTCCCTCTCGGTGAAGGCCGATCTGTGGGCACCGGGACTGACAGCTCTGTACTATGGAAACACAACTTCCTGAGCAGAGCTGCACACAGCCAGCAGCAGCAGGGAGCACTCTGCTTAACTGGCACCAATTTCCACACATCTGGCTTCAGATTTGCTGCTCAACTTGTCTAGAAACAGAATGGCTACATGACAGAATTCCAGGACAGGGCAGGCAATTTTCCCCTCCCTCCAGGCACAATTCCACTTTCCAACCAAACGTTTTCCTTCACTGGTTGAGCAGAGTCAGCCTCCCTTTCCACAGTCTGTCTCACACTTACCACAGCATGGAGGCCAACAGCACATTTATTCAACTAAACTCAGAACCTACACATTCTGAGTTGGGCATCTCCAAAAACCCCCACCATGCACCTGAAATCATGTGGATTTCATTTCTTTTGCAAGCCTTAGTTTGGTGAAGTCAGCTCCCTGGTACATCTGCTGCAGGTGACATCCTGCACTGCCAGGGGGAAGTGTTTAACCCTTGGATCAAGATCCTGAAGGATCTTTACAGTAATTAAGGAAGGGATGCTATTAATGAAGCCCCCAAGCACTGCAGTGTGGTCAGTGGGAAGCAGACCTGCAGAGCTCCACCCCAGACACTCATGACAGATTGCCTCAGTGCTTATGCCAACTTTAGAAACAAAACACTTCTACTACTTGTGTTACCACAGCTCAATCATCTCACTTCTTCTGGCCTCTCCCAGTGACAACTAAGGCACCTCAGTGCCCCCTGTGCCTGCTGGGGGTCAGAATGCCCCACACAAGTATTTTGGTAATTTAAGCCAACCTAACTCCATGTGCCCTGGTTAAGGACTGCAGGGCAGCTGCACTTGCACATACCGTGGTTTGAAGGGCTCATAGTCCTTGGCAAGTTTCATGAACAAGTTGTGTTGGAGGTCTAAAGGTGTTTCCTTGAAATAAGATGCTGGTTTGTCATACAAAGTTACAGCCCTGGCAGGAAAGAAACGTGCAGCTTAAATAAGACACAGAGGTAACAACATGCACATGGTACAGTGGCAGGCTGAAACAATGCAATCAGAGAAAAATTAACTAAATCAATACAGCAAAGTAATTCATTTTTTGACTCTTCCTGTATTCTGGAAGTTTGCTGGAACACACCAAGGTGGGCACAAGTAACAAAGAACCCCTTTCCTGTGTGCTCATTCTAGGGGTGAAATGCACCTGTAAAAACTGCAGACATCACTGTCCTGATTTTCAAACTTACTCCATTACTGCCCCTGAGCAACTCTGATCTTGAAGCCCTCAAGATAAGCTGGCAGGCCAGAGGAATTGCTCAAATCCCAGTGATACCTGTCCCTCTCTGGCTCCACAGGCAACCTGCAGCAAACTTCCATGGCTCCTGGACTGCCACCTCAGTCACTGGGGTGTTAGTTCAGAAGGATGATGAAGATTCCTGAATGCCCACACTACACTGGCCCATCACAAAACTGAGCTGATGTGTTTCAGTGGTGATGGATGAGCTCAGGAGAGCTGCTTTTGTAAGATCCCTCTGAATCCTCAGGGATCTGTTCTTTCATTTACTTAGCACACACACACTAAATGCAGGCACGTGACTTACTTTATCCTGAAATTCACCCAGAGATCTTTCTTCATGGCATCAGTGACACACAGGTTATAGTCAGACAAGCGCCCAAAAAGCTTTTCATACCTGACAAAAATGGAATATCAGCCAGAAACCACAGGCAGGCAATTGCAGCAACTGTTCCCAGTGCCCATGCTTGATGAAAGCCAAACAAAACCCAAAGAAACCCAACTACCCCCAGAACTGAAATTTGACTGGCAATTTTTGATGGACTCCTACTCCCCAAAGCCTTTAATTACACATAAACCAATTATATTCAGCAAGGAGCTGTTCAAATAAGAGCTGGAGTGTAAAGCAGCATTAGAGAATAAAAACCCAGGACATATAAAGAAATTCCAATAACAAGATCAACACTTGCATAGGTAGGCAAAAGCAACCTGCCCAATTCCTGCAACCCCCTCCCACGTGTTCAACAAAGCAGCTGCAGAACAGAAACCAGTTTCACACAGCAAAGCCAGCAACCCCTCCCTGTGCCAATTATATCCTCCCCACTGACCTCCATTCTGAATTCACCAAGGCACATCATTTATAAAGAGCAGGAATGACTGCACAAACCATTTTGCAATCAGGACCAGTGGGTGGCTCCTCCCGTGACTCAGGCTCATGATGGTGTACCCATAGTTGTGCCAATCAACGATGAGTTTGCTCCCCCACCACAGCCCTGCCACCCAGGCAACAGCTATACTGGGTAAGCCTGGGGGGTTCTGCTCAAAAACAAAACCAAAATAGCATCAGGCTGTGACCAAGTGACAAACACAAAGCAACTACCAGAAACAAAAAACCAAATGGAAGTTCCATCACCTTAAAGGAGCTTCATGAACAGAGACTGTTTGTATTCACTTAGGAACACTGGCAGGAACTCCAAATTTAACCCTGGATCAAGGTCAAAATTCTCCTCCACTAAACACACCAACATTTCCAGTAAGATTTATTCTTTACTGCTACCCATGGCAATAAAGTTTGAAAGCACAACTAATGGGAAGAGAAAACTTGTTAACAGACCAGTAAGAGTTTAGAGACAAAAAATACCTGGATACAGGTTTACACCACTGATGAGGCCAGCTCAGCTCTGAAACAATTAGAACAATGTCTGAAGTGGCTAAAACCACCCTGTATTATAGCACCATTTATTTGTACTGAAATTAGTCCCAAAACAAAACATACCTGAAGAAGAATATAGGATGGCTGATCTATCCTCAGCAACGTGTACAGTAACTGCACTGACTGCACAAGCACCTTCAGGACATACTGGAAAAGCTTTGGCCCCACTGCAAAGTGACAGAAAAATATGTATGAGTATTATAGCTCTCCCCACAGAAATGTGAACATCAGAACCAGCCAGCTCTGCAGGGACAGGGTCACAATAGCATGAAAATGGACACACTTTACCAATGACCTGGGTAAGTGATAGAGTGCACCCTCGGCAGGTTTGGAGATGGCACCAAGCTGGGTGAGAGTGTCAATGTGCTTGAGGGTTGGAAGGCTCTGCAGGGGGATCTGGACAGGCTGGATGGGAAAGGGGCTCAGCCTGGAGAAAAGGAGGCTCAGGGGGGACCTTGTGGCTCTGCACAACTCCTGACAGGAGGGGACAGCCAGGGGGGGTCGGGCTCTGCTCCCAGGGAGCGGGAACGGCCCCAAGCTGTGCCAGGAGAGGTTTAGGCTGGATATTGGAAACCGTTTAGGCTGGATATTGGAAACCTTTCTTCGTGGAAAGGGGGGTCAGGCAGTGGCACAGCTGCACAGGGCAGTGATGGGGTCCCCATCCCTGGAGGGATTTAAAAGTGGATATGGCACTTGGGGACATGGGTCAGAGGTGGCCTTGGCAGTGCTGGGGGAATGGTTGAACTCAATGTTCTTAGAGGGCTTTTCCAACCTTTGTGATTTTATGACCACTATAAAGCTATGTAAACATTTCCTCATCTCCACAAGTTCTCATTTTGTATTTTGCATGGAAAGAAATCCTACACTCGTGGAATGGGTTTGACTGGAAGGGACCTTAAGGCTCATCCCATTCCATCCCCCTGCCAAGGGCAGGAACACATTCCACCGTCCCAGGCTGCTCCAAGCCCCTCAAGCCTGGCCTTGGACACTGCCAGGGATCCAGGGGCAGCCACAGCTGCTCTGGGCAACAGGGCTAAACACAAGGTGGGGGAGAAAGGTAGAAGGAAAATCATTTCCGCATTTCACTGTGCATGCGAACAGCACCAGTGTACCGGCAGGAGTTTAACTCCAGCGGCTCTGTTTAAAGGCAGACAAGGCGCGGAGCGGTGCGTGCGGCGGGGCCGGACCGGCACGCGCTGCGGGCTCTTTATGGTCCCCGGTTCCCGCCGTTCCTCGGCTCCCCGGCCCGGCCCGCACGCACCTCGCAGCCCGCTCAGCTCCGCCACGGGCACCAGCCGGATGTTCTGGCAGCGCAGCACGTCCCGGTGCGGCCGGGTCTCTGCGGGGGGAGAGCGCGGTCAGCGGCGCGGCCGCCCCGCCCGGCCCCGCGGCCCCGGCCGCCCCTCACTCACGGAGGTAGCCCAGCAGCGCGACCTCGCGCCCGTGCCGGGCCAGCGCCAACGCGTGGTACTGCATCCGCGGGCTGCGGCCCAGGTCCCCCAGCACGGCCACGCACACCCGGCCCGCGCCGCCCGCCCGCCGCCTTCGCCGCCACAGCAGCAGGAACAGCAGAGCCGCCGCGCCCATCCCCACCGCCCACAGCCCCGGCCACGGCGCCGCTGCCGCCATCTTTGAGCGCCGCAAGGCGGGAAAGGCGCGTCCCGCGCGCCCCCTGGCGGCGCGGAGGTGCCTAGCTCTGAGGGGACCCCGGGCAGGCCGCGGGACCGGCAATTACCGAGAGAATGATTAATTAATTACAGCATAGAGGGGGCTTAATTAATTACAGCGGCACTGGACATCCGTCCGCAGTGTGGGATTTCCGGGTAAATTTTACAGTATCTCGAAATCAGGGGTGATTTCAGCACAGCCCCATTATCATCAAATGTGTGTGCTTTTCCTTAGTTTGAGTTCAGCTAAATTCTAGCTAGATCTTATCTGGATCTGAGTTAATACTCCACATATTTCTGTGCTATCCCTCACTTTGTTGTCTCAATCCCTGATCCTGCTAGGTACTAAAGCCTTTCAAAATCTGCATCCCTCTGGTTTCTCATGTGTACCTAATAAACAATTTCCATCCCTTTTCAGCTTGCTGATCCCTGTTTTCTGGTGGAAATACAGAACAAACAGAAGCCTGCCGACAGAAACATTTGCCATGTTACCTTGGCGCCATGGAAGTGACTGAAGACCACACTGAAAAAATCATTAAGTTGTACAAAAGTTTAAAACTAAGTCAGTTGTACTGGTCAAGAAGCCAAGAGGATTGTCACAGAATGCAGAGAACAAATGCCATTTCTTCACTACAAACAGGGATAAAGGCACAAATGAAAGATGTTGGTGACCAGGGACAAGACCCAAAGGAATGGCTGGAGCTGTGCCAGGGGAGGGTCAGGTTGGATATCAGAAAAGGTTCTTCCCCAGAGGGTGCTGGGCACTGCCCAGGCTGCCCAGGGAATGGGCACAGCCCCGAGGCTGCCAGAGCTCCAGGAGCGTTTGGACAATGATCTTAGGGATGCCCAGGGTGGGATTGTTGGGGGTCTGTGCAGGGCCAGGAGCTGGACTGGATGATCCCTGTGAGACTCTTCCCAACCAGGAAATGTCACAATTCCACGATTCTCTCTGCAGACCCCTGTGGCCCCCCATCCAGTGTTTCTTTGCCCCCTTTGACAAAGGCAGATGCCAGATGTTGCATTTCCAGTGTAACTCTCCATATTGCCAAACAGCACTAGGTGGTAACAATGAAGCCATTGTTCCCTTTTAAAACATATAACTAATTACAAGTATGGGCAGACTGGTTCCACAAAAAATAAAGCCTGGAATGTTTGCTCAAAGATTCTGCTCGGAATGCATGTTTTTCTACTTACAAAGCATGGAATCATAGAATCTTCTGAGTGGGAAGGGACCCACAGGGATCACCCAGTCCAGCTCCTGTCCCTGCACAGACACCCAACAATCCCACCCTGGGCATCCCTGGCAGCCCTGTCCAAGCACTCCTGGAGCTCTGGCAGCCTCGGGGCCGTGCCCATTCCCTGGGGATCCAAGGCTTCCTCAAGAAAAGCCCCACATCCCACCCTGCTATTACACACGCAGACCTGTGGCAGACACACACACCCATCCCAACCTGTGGGAGGTCTGATCTTGTGGGAATCCCTCGTTTCAGTCCCTCCTATCTCACCCGACAGCTCCTTGCCGTGTACCACTTCAATGCAAATGCAAATTGCTTTTCTGTTTACTTCCTTGAGTAAAGTGCAGATATCCTGGCTGCAATGGAATGAAGGACTGCTGGATTCTTGCAGGCTATCAGGCATAACACCCCAAATCCATACAGCTGTATTTTCTGGCAGGTTATCAAAGTACTTAAAATTACAAGTGTTTCAGTTTTAGGGATGTGGTGACTTTTAGTTTATGAAGGTAGAGTTGCAATAAAAGTCCTTTTGACCTATGCAATCCTCAGAGCAGTTAGCTGGAGAAAAATAAATAAGGTGCAGTCATGTCTTCTGGCTGAGGCTCTGAGAACAGGGATACACTTGAGAGAAATGCATTTTCAGAGACTGCTGATCTCTGCCTGGAGAATTTTTCATATGTATTGAATAGCAGTTCTGTTTTACAAAAGCTTTTTCCTGTCTCTTCTTCCTGACCATTTCAGAAAGTTTGGAAAAGCTGTTTGCACTTACCCTAGAAACAGTCTGTTTAGCTCCATCCCAGTCCTCCTGCCCTCGATGGATTGCTATGAGTGCAATAAACAGAGACAGAACAGCCAAAATCCCTCTCACAAATGGAGCTTCCCTCATCCCAAAAGTCTCTAATTCAAAGGTCTCAAGCAAATCTCATGACAGCCTGCTGCTACCCTGGTTACTCTTATAGCAACATGATATATGTAGCTGAAACTTTTAAAACCCACTTATTTTTTCTTTCTTTTTTTTTTTCTTTCTTTTTTTTTTTTTTTAATTTGTACTGAAAAAATAACATGGAATATCCCAGTAACAAGTATTTGCACCAATCACACCTGCACTGCAGGGTACTCCAAAGGGCTCCGAGCGCTGGCACCGTGCTATATCATGAGGGATAAATGATGGCCATTTTTAACAGCAAGGCAATTTGCTTCTTGTGTTTGTTCTCTTTTTGCTCCATTTCTAAAGCACAGCCCCTGCCACAGTGGAGATGAAAGGAGCTGGCTGCAGAATAGCCTCAATTTGGAAGCTATTCCAGGTGGCCTGAAATGCCACTGCAGGTGGCCCAGCACTGAGCCCAGGGCCGCTGGGACACCCCGGGCTTTGCCTTGGAGATGAAAAACCTGTGCTGTTGGAAGGGAGGACTGGCCCTAATGTTCCTCTAACAATCCCCATGGTCTACAATACTAAATTAATGTTACTGTTTAGTACCTGCACCTGCTTTACCTCATCTAATGTCAGCTGTTTCCCGTAAACTTTTCACCAAGCCTTCCAACCTTCCTGTGGGAAGGGAAAATGGCACAGGATCACAGAATCAATGAAGAGTTTGGATTGCAAAGGACCTTAAAGATCGTCTCATTCCAACCCATTGCACAAAAAGACACTTTTTAATGCTCCTTTCTCCTCAAGCACTCCAAACTCTTGCAGTTGCTGCCTTTTAACATCACCAGCTGCTTTTTATCTGCTTTATTCATTTTCTACTCACCCAAAAAATCCATGAGGAAGGAGTGAAGGTAAAAGAAGTGACCTAGGAAATTTTTACATAACTTCCCAAAGACAGTTTTCCCTGAATGGTTTGTATGGGCTTAGACAGCTTTTCAGGCAGGTACAGGTTTAGGTCATAGAAATACATTTTTTATTCCTCCCAGGGCATAGAAGAGGAAGAAGGGAGATAATCAGGAAAAGCAAAGCCAGTGTGGTTATCAGCCATATGGCTGATAACCACAGGGAAATTCAAATTAGTAAAAGTTTTCTTTCACAACACAAAATTTTCAAATTGCAGGAAAAGGATAAAATACTTCCTAATTGCAGTCATGCCCAAGTTTTCAGAGCTGAACTGAACTTGAGGCTCAAGACAGAAGAACAGCTGCCTTATATTCCAATATATAATTGGAATTAGTATTAGATCTAGATATCAGTATGCACACTCTTCTCATGATATTCACTCTGATAGCAGAAAGAAACACCCACTGGCTGACCTCCACTGAGTGGATAAAACAGAGATATTCTCACTTAGAGCCTGACTTAGACTAAGGCTTCAGCTAGGGCTGGGGTTGTGTCTTCATACCAAAGCTCAGTGTGGTCACAAGGTGTTTTCCCAGCCCGTGCACACACATGTACTTTAGACCCTGCATTTTGGGGACATGAATGCGGTTGTGGCACAACCTGGAATGGAGACTGGTTATCTTTAACAGCAGGTAGTTATCTCAATTAGTGGGGAAATCGTGTCACTGCAAAACAAACACTGGAATTCTGGCAGTGCCGCCCTTTCCTCTGAGCAATTCTGGAAAAACAAGTCACTTGTACTCCACTTAATATTAATTAGGTAGAAGGAGCTGCTTTAGAGAGGAAAGTAAACTGAAAAGCAAAGGCACTATATGGAAAGGAGAGACTATTCCTTTTTCAAATACTGCTTTGTTTTTCATTCCAGTTTGGAAGAGGTTTGTGCTCCCTGTGGATTTCCAAAGGTGACTTTTGGCCCGTGGATCCTACACTGCATGTTGTGATTCCAGGCTCTCATGTAAGCCATGGAAAAGACCGGGTGAGTTTGGGAACTGGGTGGAAGCCTCCCAGTGGAACCCTTAGTGCATGAAGATCTCTGTGAGAAGGTGAAGCTGTTTGAGTAAAAGACCAAGCACAAACCTGAGTGCTCTACTCATGCTTTATGTAGAGCTGAGTTTAGACCATGAAAACCCCCTTTAGGCCACCCTGGAATTCCACTGGACAGCTTGTTTCCAGCTGGAAACACAAGCAGGACATCTGCAGTTCTCCATGGCTGTATAAAACTGGAGGCATAATAACCCATTAGCTAAGATCTTTTAATGCACTGGCTTGTCCTAAGGGAGTTTTCTGGTTAATTTGTGACATGAAACTCCTTTTTCCCACCTGCAAGACACCTGAGACAGCAGCACATTTAATTACCTGAACCAGGTGTGCTTATCCTGGGAAAGCTGAGGAATAATCCACTGCTATGGAAACACTGGGCTCTTCTCCTGCAGTACAGCGTCAAGCTTGCGGCTCCGCAGCCCCGGTGCCCAGGGCACAGGGGTGGTTCCTGTCCTTCCTTGTACCACCTCATTTATGGAACCAAGGCCCGAACAGAGCTGGGAGCTGAGGAATAATCCACTGCTATGGAAACACTGGGCTCTCCTCCTGCAGTACAGCATCAAGCTTGCGGCTCCACAGCCCCGGTGCCCAGGGCACAGGGTGGTTCCTGTCCTTCCTTGTACCACCTCATTTATGGAACCAGGGTCTGAATAGAGCTGGGGAGGGACGTTGACAATGTGCTAAGACAAGGGGAACACTGTGTGTCCAAGGCCCCCCATCCCCTCCAGAAGGGAATGTGGCCTGTGGAGAACCTGCTCCATGTCTGAGGTGGGCAGAGCCGCTGCTGCAAGTGGCCCACAGGCTGAGAGTGGAGGAATTTGTCTCCTTGAATACCTCAGTCCTTGAATACCTTGGTAAAGA